ACTATCCTTCTCTACTATAGCTACCTTAACTATCCTTCTCTACTATAGCTACCTTAACTATCCTTCTCTACTATAGCTACCTATAGTACAGTGTTGTAATTATACCTTATTTCTTGGTCCATTGACGATAAAGGGTTGTAGAACCACAGTAAACTGATCATTGATATCATAGATGCCACTGTTCACTAGTTTCTCTAACAAATTCTAGTGACAGAGAGAGAAATGAGTAAAAGACTTTTGTAAATATGCAAACAAAAGAATAAAATTTAATCATGATGGAACAGCAGTACTGAAAGGAACAATATTTTCAGGGGGARGGGGAAGCAATTTTCTGATTTCTTACCAAATTTTCCTTGGCAGCTTCAGATACAATGTGCCTGGAATTGTTATTTGATGTTGATGCACACGGACAAGCATTCCTGGTGAAGATATGATACACAAAGTTTAGATAATTCTTATTATAATCATGGTTTAATATGCATCACTACAAGAGTCATTATCATAATGATGACATCAACACCATCATCATCATTCCTTGCCWTKTTCATMATCATCATCATTATAATCATTATAACTAAACTCATATACCCCTTATCAACTTACTGATTGAGTATTTGGCAGGTAGGGTTCTTTGTAAACAGTTCATTTAAAACACTGACATCCATTGGTGGCACTAGGTTGATATATAGCCTTGGAACCTGAGGAATAAAGTACACACATTATTTTACAAAATGATTGTTTTCTAATGAAGCTGATTAATATTTACCTCTTTCTTGAGGGTATTTAGTGCTTGCATGATGTTCTTAATGTAATTGTTGCTGCTATACTTGATCTGTTGATATGAGAACAATAACTCAGTAAATATTATGTTGAATTTCATAATGATCATGTTATATAAACTAAGTTAAAAAGTGAAAGATATGTTTAGAAACCAAACACTCTARAAAACACAGGAATTTCTTAGATACTTACAGGGTCTTGACAAATATAGCACAGATCCACCATTCCKGTCCAGATAGTTAGTAGTTTCCAATCATTCTGATAGTCAATYGACTGGAAATAAAAATTACACAATAATGATAAAAAAACAATGCATGAGCACGATTCATTAGTAAATATATTTTCGTCATGTTTATTGCAGTCAAGATATTTTTTTCAGATGGTTAGAGTCCCCCTGCTCTCTTCACCCCCCCCCCCCCCCCCAATACATCCAAGAATACAATTGATACTCTGATTTAGGTATTGTTCATAAGGTTGCATTATTTGTACATGTGTACCTTGTCATTTTTCATGGCTGTAATGACTTCATTTACTTGACCTTTTAGACCTCTGGAAATGCAGTATTCATAAGAAAGTTAGGGTACCAAAAAGTAATTTGAAATTTGTACGGTGCTTACATTATTATATGTTTATAAAATAATATCCAAATAGTTATTAACTAATAGTTCTTACATGTATGTCATGACTATTAGTCACTATCACTCTACTGAATTGCAAAGAATACATACTGAACACAATCATGGAAAATGAAACAATTCATTGTTAAAACTTTATTTGGTTGATAGTGACTAATAAAAAAACAGACACTTGGTAGTAAATAACTAATAATCTAGTAGATATTATTTCATGGACAATAAAAAACAGCCACTTGGTAGTAAATAACTAATAATCTAGTAGATATTATTTCATGGACAATAGTTATCATTGTGTTTCTTACTCAGATGAACGCTGTGCTTTTGCTTTGTTCAAATCAAAATGGCTTGCAGAGGATCCTTTCAATTTAGGGCTGAATTCTTTGATGATATCTGCACAGATAACAAAGCTTTGATTAATAATGATATATAGGCTAGTAATAAATATTGTTGTGACTTACTTGGAAGAGTTGCTGTTGTGTTAAGTTGTCCTTCACCACCAATACTCCATGAAATCCCTTTGTAATCGGTGAAAAATCCATTCCATGATGACGCTTTGCCTCCAAAACCAGACTACAAACAATAAATAAAGCAGACATGAATGTTACAAATTTGATCACCAGCTTTATTAAAAACCTAATCTTTTAAACTTTAGAAGTATGGATAAGATGTAAATATGTCCCTTRAGGATGTGACACTTACTGTAAAACCATCTCCTACAGCTGCAATCAMTTGAATGTCACTTGGACGAACCTTATGAACTAGAAGATAACAAATTAATGTATCAATATAGTTTGATATTAGCCTTGCTTTCAAGATCATACACCTTAAAGACTTACTTGCTGTTGATGTTGTTTTGGAAGATGAAATTTTGCAGTTGAAGCTTCTCCCTTGGCTCTATAAATTAAAATACAACATATGTTAAGTATGAAACAATAATAATAATAATAATAAGGGTTAAAATCCTGTATAACTAGTCTTACCTGTAAAATAGATGATTTCTTATTCCAGCCTTTGATTCCTGTGGCATTCCTTAAATGTGTAGCATATTTGATCACTTCATTGAAATTACTTGGCATTTTCAACTTTTGGATGACATCAATATCAGCGACTAAAGCAGAAGAAAAATAAGATATTTTAAGTTCTCTACAAACAGAATAGCCTGCGTTACATCCCGGAAATTTCACAAATACCAGTCGAAGAATATTCTGGATGTAACGCAGGCTACAAACAGAAAAAAAAAACATGTAACAATTATTCTAATCAACCTTGACATGTCAATGACTAGATTTGGCACTGTAGGTGACTAGATTTGTTAGRATGACTGTTATAAACATCAATATAACAAACCTTGTATATCGATGGTCTTGGATGATTGTCCATATGAACAAATATATGTGCCTATGATGTCATAAGTAGGATGTTCCAATGATATCCCTACTGCTGTTAATCCATCGTC